GCAGCTTGTGTATGTGGTACCAAACTGTATGGTACCAAACTGTATCAGTCTATCTTAGCAGCTTGTGTATATGGTACCAAACTGTATCAGTCTATCTCAGCAGCTTGTGTATGTGGTACCAAACTGTATCAGTCTATCTCAGCAGCTTGTGTATAGCAGCTTCTTAGCAGTGTATGTGGTACCAAACTGTATCAGTCTATCTCAGCAGCTTGTGTATATGGAACCAAACTGTATCAGTCTATCTCAGCAGCTAGTGTATATGGTACCAAACTGTATCAGTCTATCTCAGCAGCTTGTGTATGTGGTACCAAACTGTATCAGTCTATCTTAGCAGCTTGTGTATGTGGTACCAAACTGTATCAGCCTATCTCAGCAGCTTGTGTATGTGGTACCAAACTGTATCAGTCTATCTTAGCAGCTTGTGTATATGGTACCAAACTGTATCAGTCTATCTAGTGTGATGGTACCAAGCTTAGCAGCTTGTGTATATGGTGTATCTTAGCAGTGGTACCAAACTGTATCAGCCTATCTCGGCAGCTTGTGTATGTGGTACCAAACTATCAGTCTATCTGAGCAGTCTATACCAAACTGTATCAGCAGCTAGTGTATGTGGTACCAAACTGTATCAGTCTATCTTCAGCAGCTTGTGTATGTGGTACCAAACTGTATCAGTCTATCTTAGCAGCTTGTGTATGTGGTACCAAACTGTATCATCAGCAGCTAGTGTATGTGGTACCAAACTGTATCAGTATCTCAGCAGCTTGTGTATATGGTACCAAACTGTAAAGCTGTATGTATGTGGACCTATGTTACCAAGCCTATCAGTCTATCTCAGACCTATGTACCCTGTAGTATCTAACAAACTTTTGCAGCCTATCTTAGCAGCTTGTGTCTGTGGACCTGTAGTATCTACCAAACTCTAGCAGTCTATCTTAGCAGCTTGTGTATGTGGACCTGTAGTATCTACCAAGCACTAGCAGTGTATCTTAGCAACTTGTGTATGTGGACCTGTAGTATCTACCAAACTCTAGCAGTCTATCTTAGGAGCCTATGCATCTGACCCTGTAGTATCTAACAAACTATAGCAGTCTATCTTATCAGCTTGTGTATGTGGACCTTTAGTATCTACCCATATCTAGCAGTCTATCTTAGCAGCTTGTGTATGTGGACCTGTAGTATCTACCAAACTCTAGCAGTCTATCGTAGCAGACTATGCATCTGACTTTGTAGGATCTAACAACATTTAGCAGTCTATCTTAGCATCTTGTGTTTTTGAGGACCTGCTGTATCTACTAAACTCTAGCATTGTTACACCAACTTGTGTATGTGAACCTGTAGTATCTACCAAACTCTAGCATCTTTATCTTAGCAGCTTGTGGATGTGAACTTGTAGTGTCTACCAAACTCTAGAAGTCTATCTTGGCAGCTTGTGTATGTGGACCTGTAGTATCTACCAAACTCTAGCAGTCTATTATAGCAGCTTGTAGATGTGGACATGTAGTATCTACCAAACTCTAACATTGTATCTTAGCAGCTTGTGGATGTGGACATGTAGTATCTACGAAACTCTAGCCGTCTATCTTTGCAGCTTGTGTATGTGGACCTGTAGTATCCAGTAAACTCTAGAAGTCTATCCTGGCAGCTTGTGGATGTGAATATGTAGTATCTATAAAACTCTAGGATGGTATCTTAACAGCTTGTGTATGTGGACCTGTAGTCCATACCAAACTCGAGCATTGTATCTTAGCAGCTTGTGTATGTGGACCTGTAGTATCTACCAAACTCTAACATTGTATCTTAGCAGCTTGTGGATGAGGACATGTAGTATCTAACAAACTCTAGCAGTCTATCTTAGCAGCTTGTGTATGTGGACCTGTAGTATATACCAAACTCTAGCTGTCGATCTTAGGAGGCTATGCATCTGACCTTGTAGTATCTAACAAACTTTAGCAGTCTATCTTAGCAGCTTGTGAATACGAACCTGCTGTATCTACTAAACTCTAGCATTGTATCCTATCAGCTTGTGGATGTGATCCTGTAGTATCTACCAAACTCTAGCATTGTATCTTAGCAGCTTGTGGGTGTAGACATGTAGTATCTAAAAAAAACCTTTAGCTGTCGATCTTAGCAGTTTGTGTTTTTGGAACTGTAGTATCTACCAAACTCTAGCAGCCTATCTTAGCAGCTTTTGTATGTGGACCTGTAGTATCTACCAAACTCTAGAAGTCTATCTTATCAACTTTTGTATGTGGACCTGCTGTATCTACTAAACTGTAGCATTGTATGCTATAAGCTTGTGGATGTGAACCTGTAGTATCTACCAAACTCTAGCAGCCTATCTTAGCAGCTTGTGGGTGTGAACCTGTAGTATCTACCAAACTCTAGAAGTCTATCCTGGCAGCTTGTGTAGTTGAACCTGTAATATCTACCAAACTCTAGCAATCTATCTTGGCATCTTTTGTATTTGGACCTGTAGTATCTCCCAAACTCTAGCAGTCTATCTTAGCAGCTTGTGTCTGTGGACCTGCAGTATCTACCAAACTCTAGCAGTCGATCTTAGCAGCTTTTGTATGTGGACCTGTAGTATCTACCAAACTCTAGCAGTCGATCTTAGCAGCTTGTGGGTGTAGACACGTAGTATCTAAAAAAAACAGCTGGCAGCTTGTGGATGTGAATATGTAGTATCTATAAAACTCTAGGATGGTATCTTAACAGCTTGTGTATGTGGACCTGTAGTCCATACCAAACTCGAGCATTGTATCTTAGCAGCTTGTGTATGTGGACCTGTAGTATCTACCAAACTCTAACATTGTATCTTAGCAGCTTGTGGATGAGGACATGTAGTATCTAACAAACTCTAGAAGTCTATCCTGGCAGCTTGTGTAGTTGAACCTGTAATATCTACCAAACTCTAGCAATCTATCTTAGCATCTTTTGTATGTGGACCTGTAGTATCTCCCAAACTCTAGCTGTCGATCTTAGCAGTTTGTGTTTTTGGAACTGTAGTATCTACCAAACTCTAGCAGCCTATCTTAGCAGCTTTTATATGTGGACCTGTAGTATCTACCAAACTCTAGAAGTCTATCTTAGCAACTTTTGTATGTGGACCTGCTGTATCTACTAAACTGTAGCATTGTATGCTATAAGCTTGTGGATGTGAACCTGTAGTATCTACCAAACTCTAGCAGCCTATCTTAGCAGCTTGTGGGTGTGAACCTGTAGTATCTAGTAAACACTAGCAGCCTATACTATCAGCTTGTGGATGTTAATATGTAGTATCTACCAAACTCTAGCATGGTATCTTAGCAGTTTGTGTCTGTGAACCTGTAGTCTCTACCAAATTCGAGCATTGTATCTTAGCAGCTTGTTGATGTGGACATGTATTATCTACCAAACTCTAACATTGTATCTTAGCAGCTTGTGGATGTGAATATGTAGTATCTACCAAACTGTATTACTCTATCTTAGCAGCTTGTGTATGCTTGTGGACCTGTAGTACCTACCAAACTCTAGCTTTAGCAGTCGATCTTAGCAGTTTGTGTTTGTGGAACTGTAGTATCTACCAAACTCTTAGCAGCTTATTGTAGAAGTCTATCCTGGCAGCTTGTGTATGTGAACCTGTAATATCTACCAAACTCTAGCAATCTATCTTAGCAGCTTGTGTATGTGGACCTGTAGTATCTACCAAATTCTAGCAGTCTATCTTAGCAGCTTGTGTCTGTGGACCTGTAGTATCTACCAAACTCTAGCAGTCGATCTTAGCAGTTTGTGTTTGTGGAACTGTAGTATCTACCAAACTCTAACTGCCTATATTCACAGCTTGTGGATGTGAACCTGTAGTATCTACAAAACTGTAGAAGTCTATCTTAGCAACGTGTGTCTGTGGACGTGTAGTATCTACCAAACTGTAGCAGTCTATCTTAGAAGCTTGTGTATCTGAACCTGTAGTATCTAGTAAACACTAGCAGCCTATACTATCAGCTTGTGGATGTTAATATGTAGTATCTACAAAATTGTAGAAGTCTATCTTAGCAACGTGTGTCTGTGGATCTGTAGTATCTACCGAACTTAAGCAGTCGATCTTAGCAGTTTGTTTTTGTGGAACTGTAGTATCTACCAAATTCTAGCAGCTTATCTTAGCAGCTTGTGGATGTGAACCTGTAGTATCTACCAAACTCTAGAAGTCTATCATATCAGCTTGTGTCTGTCGACCTGTAGTATCTACCAAACTCTAGCAGTCTATCTTAGCAGCTTGTGTATGTGAACCTGTAGTATCTACCAAACTTTAGCAGTCGATCTTAGTAGTTTGTGTTTGTGGAACTGTAGTATCTACCAAACTCTAGAAGTCTATCTTATCAGCTTGTGTCTGTGGACCTTTAGTATCTACCAAACTCTAGCAGTCTTTCTTAGCAGCTTGTGTATATGGACCCGAAGTTTCTTCTCAACTTTAGCAGCCTATACTATCAGCTTGTGGATGTGAACCTGTAGTATCTACCAAACTCTAGCAGCCTGGTAATTTGTGTACTGGAAGTCATGCATGTAGATTTCACCTTGCAAGGTCGCGGCACATAGATCTACATACATACTGCGCTATATCGGGATAGTTCCGTGTCTTGAAGTCCCATCAAATGATTTGAAGCAGATAAGAGTCCATGCTGCAATGGCGAACTCCTTGTCCCAGGCGAACTCCTTGAAAAACATATCAGCCCATAACGCGTGTATATCCTGTGTCAAACAGAGAGTGCTTGAAAACGGTTTTATGCTGATTTTAGTAATATTCCAGCAATACAGTATCAATTGGCTTCACATATTGTACCCAAAACAAGCTTTAAGAAAGACAGTTCTGGGGGAAACTATGCTTTTAACACCAAACGTGGAGATAAAGAAAATGTATTTCTTCAATGAAGTATCGAAAACTATCAACAGCAGAATCTTTTTCAGCTGGGAGTTATTGCTGTGTTTTCTCTCATTCTGACATGTTGCTATTGATTTACTTCCAGATGTCATTGGCAGGGTTACATCCATTTGCAAGAGGAGGACCCGGAGGCGAGTGTTCCCCTTGTTTGTAGCCGTGAACGTCGTGGTGCCACTCTACCTGTACCTTGTCGGGTTCCCATCTCCAGTCCCAGGCCTACAGAACCACGGTACACGCCACCTTGGCAGGGTCCTCGGGGATAGACATGACAAGCCAAAGGCCATCGACACTGTCTCCAGTGAAATCCTTCCACTCAAACATCCCGCTTTTGAACAGATACCTGGATTGTTCAACTATTCTCTTTTAAAGGAAGGGGAAGAGAGGCATCTTCTTGTAAATCTGCATCAATATCAGTTTACCTTGAACTCTGACCTCTGTCAGATAGGTAACGTGTATCTACTAACGATTGTTCACTCGGCCTTGGATCATATCAATTATCGACGTCGAATCCGAGAAACATTTGGAAGCGTTCGTAAAGCGTGGAATAAAACAGTCGTCGTTGTTTTTACCGTCGGCGTTTCAAATAATGAAACACTTCAAACCAGTGTCGTAAGAGAAGCTAATGAATTTAAAGACATGATTCAAGGGAATTTCATTGATGTGTATAGAAATCTGAGTATAAAACACATAATGGGTTATCACTGGATGCTGAACCATTGTCCTGAAGCAGCCTTTGTGTTGAAGATGGATGATGACATGTTTATGAACCCATATGTGATTGTCAAGTATCTCACTCAGCTGAAGGAACCTACTAATCAGCTCCTAGGCGCAATAGCTCACAGGTATGCGCCATGGAGGGAAACTAAACTGAAATGGTACGTTTCAACAGCCCAATATCCGTTTAAAACATGGCCCAATTTTTGTCGAGGACTTGCTTATATTGTGTCCAAAGACGTTTTGCTCAAGCTTTACCATGCGTCCTCAGTGACGCGCTTTATCCCTATGGATGATGTATTTGTCACGGGTGTTATAAGATCTAATTTAGGCATTAACGCTACAGATTATGGGGACCTGAGATACAGTTGTACGACAAGAGTGTCTGTGTCGAGATTTCTCAGCGCTGGAGTGATGTTCACATTTGATTCGTGTCTAAAGCTGACGTTCAAGAATGTGACCGCAATGAAAATGTACAGCAACGGTACATACCATTTGTCAATGTCGGACAAAAGTATATTTATTTCATAAGTATATTAACGAAATGACTGCTATCGATGTCTGTTGACCTATATAAATATCTACTAGACAATCATGTTTATCGGTCAGTGGACGTTACTTGTGACTTTGGTTTTGAAAGATAAGGAAGACTGCATTACAATGCTGCATGGTATTAAGCATTTCCATGTGATCCTTCGTGTTTGGAATCAGGTTTGGAAACTTCTTTGAGTGGCACTCAAGTTGGAAGTTGGAAAGTACAATATTGACAAGCTTTATGGATAATAACTTCTTATATTTCATGAGTGTGAAGTTTCAATACAGATTCCTTGGCGATCCAGATTTGGACTAGTTGGATTCTATGCCCACAGTTCACATCACTGTTAAGAAGCACGTACACCTGAGCGTTAATGTGTAAAATGGTTTGAGTTTGTGCCCTTAAAATGAAGTATTACATCTATTAAAATGTTCAGTGTTGAACATAAACGGATAAATGAGTTGTATGTAATAAGCCATACACCGGGTTGAACTTAATTGAAATTAAAGAGACCATGCCTCAACTGTTTCAAGAGGAATTGAAAGTGATGTAATTGACGCGAATATATGTGCACATTCAGAACATGAGGACTAAATGACCCTGGGAATGTTTGTTGTCATACAACAGGTCTCCCTCATTGTGTAATAACATCGCGTGATGACGGGCGTATGACGTCATAATGGTTTACAGTTATGACGTCACAATGCTAATACCTCTGTCACAATGGTATTAGTCATTGCTTGACTCGCGGAAAGCTGAGAGTGTGAAGGCAATTTCGCCGCAGTTTCTATCAATGTATGTTGGAGAGCAATAAACAGAATACTAAACTCGCTTCCGTGCAATACCATTTTTATTAAGCTCGTGAAAGATGATTAACTCGTTTAATAAAAATGGCATAACACGGAAGCTGTTAAGTATCCTCTGTACATTACTCACCCGTTGTAGATATCACTGTTTGATAATTTTACAATGTTATTGCACATTGTTTATTACACATTGTGTAATAACATCGCGTGATGCCGTACGTATGACCTCAAAGTGATTTACAGTTATGACGTCACAATGCTAATACCCTGTCACAATAGTATTAGGTCTTGCTTGACTCGCGGAAAGCTGAGAGTGATCACACACAAAGAAGTACTTCGTCGATAATATTTTGCTAATGTTGGGTGAGTAATAAATAAAATACTAAACTAGGTCCCGTGTAATACCATGTCTATGAAACTCGTGAATGGCAATAGTATCTAACTCGCTTTCGCTCGTTACATACCAAACCATTCACTCGTTTCATAAATATGGTATAAGACGGGACATCGTTTAGTATTCTCTATGTCAAGAGCGCCGAAAAATGACGTGATGATTAAATTGCAAAAGACTCCTGCAAGTGTACAACCAGTGAGTCTTTCGGGTATCGACATTTCACATTCAGTTTCCAGTCCGTTAACAGTGGCTGCATCCTTAAGGTCAGACAAATGGGCAGTAGCATTCTGAGCAGCAGTCTGTCTGTTTCTTTCCTCTCTCCAATGCGTCATTGCTGCATGTGTACCGATCGTGACATGATTACGATACACTGCTGTACAAAGTTCACGCAGTATCAGTGACACACACTTGGTAGTCATGTTCCCCCAAGCCAGTTATTACGTCTTTAATGTCAGACAAATAGACATTAGCTTTCCGAGCAGGCGTCTTAAGACGCCCGGGGATATAATCATATGAACTAGAACAGTGACAATATAGCCACTTCGCTTTCCATGATAATACTTCCATTGCTTAACATTGTAACCCTAACTATAAACAGAGGCCAGAGATGTTTAAATGCATGAATCAAATAGTTGTATAGCCTAAACAAATAAATACTTTTTTGTGTGAAATATGTGTCAAAATGCATCAGTAAGGAACCAACAGATTCCACTCATTTTCAGAAGTCAAAGTATTAAAGACTTGCTGGTAACTTAGGACGTTTGTATCAAAAGACAATTCATTTACGATACCTCACGGGGTAGGTATGAAGTACCTAACTGTTTATTGTGTGAACAGGGTTAATACCTGTAACTATTTTAATGTATGCCATTGTACAACCATAGTCGCACATGATAGGAACTACTGCAACCGACACAGACAGAACATCACAGTTGCGAAAGTGAGATCCACTCTTTCGACCTTGATGACATGATAATCATAAATGAAGAAAAAAGAGAGGGCACTGATACCCATATATGGTCATGAAAGGACAAATATATTGTGACGTCAGCACTGGTGCAACCGAAACCTGTACTTTCTTTATTGTTTAGTATTTAAGTCACAGGGTTATTGAACTGAAAGAGCTGTGAATCTTTCAAAGACACCATATCCTGTTGCAGAACAGGAACTAGTAAATCAAAGTGTTATTCAAGATCTAGAGCAATAAGCAATGTCTAAATAATTAAGTGTTTTTCAAGTGCGAGTAGATAGTTACAATTGTAAACACTTGTCCTTTGCAAACAATATTTTTATCCATAACATGTCATGTTGACTCCCAAATCCCAACAATTGTTTTCTTTCTTCATTATTAAAGTGTAGATTCAAAACAGTACCCCTTGTTCTGCTGTGCATTTAACATCGTCATATAGAAGTTATTTATTATCGTCATAACCCTTATTTAGTAAAGTCATATTTGGCGGTCACGCAATGGTACCAGAACTGGTTCTTGAATATACGCTTGTCACCGGAAATCTGGTACCGGAAGTTAGCTGGGCCCCGTCTCGCATATCGCAAGTTGGCGCGCGCAAAAGGAGCCGCGGAACCAGCTTTGTACCGCAAGTAGCGCCTCGCAAGACTTACAGGCCCTATACAAAGGATGTTAGACACAGATATCGTCATTGTATTGTGTTACGTCAAGATCCAGTACTGTGTTACGTCAAGATCCAGTACTGTGTTACGTCAAGATCCAGTACTGTGTTACGTCAAGATCCAGTATTGTGTTACGTCAAGATCCAGTACCGTGTTACGTCAAGATCCAGTACTGTGTTACGTCAAGATCCAGTACTGTGTTACGTCAAGATCCAGTATTGTGTTACGTCAAGATCCAGTACTGTGTTACGTCACGATCCAGTACTGTGTTACGTCAAGATCCAGTACTGTGTTACGCCAAGATCCCTTCTATAGGATGTTATAAACTCAGGTATTGTCATTGTACCGTGTCAAGATCGAGTACAACAGATGTGCTATTGAAGCGTGAAGAGTTGAAGACGTACTGGGATGAACCAGTCTGGCAACAACACTTCTTTGCCTGGACCTGCACATTTCACATCTGCGCCATCTTGGGAGGTCCTTTAAGGACCTTACGTATAAATAGACGGCGAGCTGTCGTGGACTTCTGATTCGTTTGTTGAAACGGTTTCTGCGTATTTATATTCTTTTAACTATATGTGAACACCTGTTGTCGCGGCTGATTGATCCAAACAGTTTTACAGCTCTTGTGCTTTTCTCCTCATCTGAAAATCGATATTAGTTATTTTCTGGCATTGATGTTGTATATTTCTAGAATGATCGTTTGCACCATGATTATTTGTTTGATAACGATGTTAGTATCTACATCGAAACGTCGCATCTATTGCAATAAAGATGTTGTCTATCCATTGAAAGTGTTCCTCTTCACCATACCAGCTTCTAAATGCTACTTAAAGAAGTAACATGGGTATTGGCTGGGATCAACGACTGGTGTTACACAATAATAGCATTCTTCTTGTAATGTTTCGGTTTGTTGACATGATTGTTTATATTGAACGTGCTACATGGTAACGGTATCTGTGGGCCTAAAACATTATGAACAGATTCTTTCACGTGGTAGAAACATCTGTGATGAGCTTGTTTAGTACGTACTGGTGATGTGAATATGAAACTCTGTTAAAATACACACTCTTGATATCTGAAATGATACAGAACTTCATACATACAAAACGTACAATAGTGTTCAGTATAACTAAAACGAATACTCAAAGATTTACTGAATTATCAACCTTGGAAATGTCATGATAGCAGACATAAAAACAGTGTTCCATATGGCAATATACGATGGGCAGATGTCACAAAGGAGTAGTTTCAATGAATCATATTATTACCAGGAGACATGGGCAAGTACTTTCATAGCATTTATTTCCTACCCTGTTAGCGTATATTTTAATTGTGTAAAATCAAACTCTTGTTCCAGTGGTCAATAATCTGAAAAAGAAAAGACGTAAGATGAACATACAGAATAATGGACAACTCCAGCTAATATCTGTACTCAGCATATATATATATGTGAACAGTGTCTAAAGAGAGATGCTACTTTAGATATTTTAGATGAAGTATTTGTATTTATATGATCAAAGGCACAAGCTGCCGTGACATACAATACAGCCTTAAACTTCTACTTCTACATCACATAGAAAGACAAATGTTTCAAAGTGTTTCAAGGATTCGGATGACGTAAACGTCGCTCCATTCCATCCTGGACGTGGTCAGTGGGTGACAAATCAGGGGATGTTGCAGGCTAGGGTAACACATTAACATTGTTTTGCTAGAGATAATGCTGTACAATTATCGTGTTGAAACGTCACTCCATGGCTAAATTCGTGACCAACTCGTGTTATTCCATTACAAGCCGAATAGCGACTCGTGCCCTCTGGGAGGATTTCACAGACTCGATTATTTACAGACCGCCGCCATATAGCTGGACTATTGCTGAGTGTGGCGTAAAACTAAACTCACTTACTCACTGGAAGGATTTCGATAGAGATTCTAATGTTTGTACTTCTCTGTCTTTAATCGTTCACAGTCATGATCGAACCACGGTGCGTGTCTATTACATTTTGATTTAAACCTGTTAGATTTTAATCTGAGTACCTCACCACAACCGGTAAACACAGAGGTTAACAGACGAACTGCACTGTTGATGTCTGAATCTAATAATGAGAAAAATCACGTAACTTACTCCTTAGTAATTGTTTAAAACCAGGTATCTCACAATCAGGTAATCGGTATCTTGGAGACGGTAGAAGTGTCAATGTATCACCAGATGACATAGAGAGAAGAGGCTGGAAAATCCCAATGAGCGACGAGCAGATGGTCCGATGCCGCACGGGCCAATACTTTTAAGTCAATTATATGCTCAAACAGATCAGTGGAGACTAACAGATAATCTACGGGCTTGTTCCTTGGTGTGATAGAAATGTAAATTCACCAGTCCGATCTCCAATAGATCTACCATTCACTATGTGTACGTTAAATATGTTGCAGACATCAAGTAAACATCTCTCGTATACATTCACTTTGTTATCACAGTTGTTCCTAGGTAAGTCGAATGTATCTGACCCATAGTTATCACCAAGAGGTAGATGATCCACACTGTCATTTATGATATAATCAAAATCATTACCTGTCCGTGCATTAAAATCACCAGATAATATGAACTTACACTCTTCTCCACAATCACTTACTATCTGAAGCAGTTTTCCTTCAAAAGATTGTATTCCATTTTCTTCCCGATGGTGGTATAACGATGATCCTTCATAGTGGGGCGGTTAAGGCAAAAATTGTGCACTTTGGGTTAAAAGCACCAAACTTGGCACACTTATATATTGAACCATTCCGAACATTTCTGGATATGGATCCACCTCAGCAGTGCCCCCTGGTGGCAGAAAATCCAAGATGGACGCCATTTCGACTAAAATGCAATCGATGTTCCATATATCATAATTATCTTGTCAAATTTCGTATTTCATAGAGGATTAATTGGAACAGTGAGGTACATATTCCCAATTTATTACACAGCGCCACCTGGTGGTGATGGAAATCCAAGATGGCCACCAAAATATTCAGAAATTGCCTTGTTATACTGCTGTTATTTGTAAGTTATTACCTTTTGGTTTTGGATAGGTTGATGATATTTAGATATATTTAATATTGTGAAAAGACATTTTAAATAGCAACAAATGAATGTATATATTTGTGCACTCTTGTGTATGATCTGTTGGTAGTATGCTTTATAATGTAAG